GGGGGGGGGGGGGGTGGTTAGCTACAACCTGTATTCAATATTTAACTGATCTCAAGTATAGAATGGCGTTGCCGGATTCCTGTTTCTGTGATCCAGATAAGAGATGAAGATTTGGAGGGCCTGGTGATGTAAATTTGAGAAATAGTGGAAGTAAGATTATGCACTTACTTTGTGTTTCTTCTCCATTTTTTGCCAAACCGGCGTAAAAGCCATCACTTCTGCTGATAATTCTTAAAGGATTTTAAATAGTGGTTTTACATCTTCTCACCTACATTATTCTGTACTTATAATGACCTTTGTTCCTACACCAGTATTATAATTTGGTCTTACATGTTTAGAAATAACTTTGGTTTTTTTTTTTGAACTGGATAGAAATAACTTTAGCTGAAGATCAGGTTTTGCTGTGATACTATATTTTGCAGTTCTGTCAGTTTTGGAAGATTTATATATATTGTCTTTTTGGGAAATATGTGAAAGAAAAAAATTTTATGGTACTGACTCGGTCTCATACCGAAGAAATAAACATAGAACAAGCTATACGATTCAATTGCTTGTTTGAATTGCAAGTTGCAACTTATTGATCGAAACTTTCGACAACTATCAACTTATTGCAACTTACTTGATATTTGTTTTTCCTACTGGGTTTGTATCAAATGTATTGCTCTCAAACCTTTTTATGGGACTAAATTATAATGAGTAAAAGGACTTGTCATCGTTGTTTTTCAATACAGTCGTCAAATTAGACAGTTATTTGACGAGTAATGTTACACTGACCAATAAAAATTTCAAATAATATACTGTCATGTCATTTGAGCTATAAATTTGGTCAGTGTAACATTACTCTTTATTTAACTATCCAAATCTTGTAGTCAATGCTTCCTAAACTATGATTTCCACTAAAGTAACAAGTCATTTTCACAAACCTTATTATTAATACATTTTAAGAATCACTATATCAATGTATTTATTTCAAAATAAAAGTTTCAAAAATAACAAAATGGAACTTAAGATTGAGGTCCATAGGGGTGGCAAAAGGGGGCTTGAAAAAGCCACTTAGAAGCCCATACAATGTAAAAACCAACCCTGGCCCATTACATGGTCCATAAAAACACTAGGAAAGTGTGTGTGTGTGTGTGTGTGGGAATTGAAATAGCAGCTAGATTATAAACCCTAAACCTAGAACCCCATTACAGAATCAACAAATTCTCACAAATTGGCGGTAAAAATCTAGAAGTTTTTCGATTCCCAAATCAGATTCCCATTTTTAGTTTTTCTAATTGTCACTTTATTCCTATTCCTATTTAATTTAGGAGTCGCCCCAAAACCCCTCCTAATCGACACGCGCACACAGAATCCTCTATATATCATCACATTCGATGTTATTTCGAAGACTCTACACCTCTTTAGCCTGTTCTAACCACTACCCATCTTTTCTTTTCAAGAAATTTACAAACCCTTCTGCTATTATCAACTCAAACCCACTATTTCCTTGCCCAAATAGCTTCAATTTGAGCCTCCAAAGGCCGAATTTCATAGCCAGATCATTTATTTCATCAAATTCCCAAATGGGTGATTCCAGAAGACCACGTCCAGTACCTATACCATCCGTAGAATCAGCCGATAAGGCCGAATTGTATCGAGCCCTTGAAGCCTCATTGGGTTCACAATTCAGCTCTGACCCTCTGGTTCCAAACCCTAACCCTTTGATCATGGTGATAAGTGGTCCAAGTGGGGTCGGCAAAGATGCTGTGATCAAAAGATTGAGAGAAGAGAGAGAAAATATACATTTTGTTGTTACCGCAACAAGCCGGGCAATGAGGCCTGGCGAAATTGACGGAAAAGATTACTTTTTTGTGAGTAAAGAAGAATTCTTATCAATGATTGAGAAAGATGAGCTTTTGGAATATGCATTGGTGTATGGGGATTATAAGGGTGTTCCAAAACAGCAAATTCGAGATTATATGGCGAAAGGGTGTGACATTGTCATGAGGGTTGATATTCAAGGGGCCGCGACATTGAGGAGGATTTTGGGGAAATCGGCTGTGTTTATATTTTTGGTGGCAGAGAGTGAGGCCACGTTGGTGAAGAGGTTGATTGATAGGAAGACGGAGACGAAGGAAACGTTGCTTGTGAGAATTGCCACGGCCAAGGAGGAGGTGAAGCATATGAAGGATTTTGATTATGTGGTTGTGAATAAGGAGGGCGAGTTGCAGAGGTCAGTGAAGTTGGTGGAGTCGATTATTGATGCAGAGAAGGCTAAAGTGCGGCAAAGGAGTGCGGCGATTTAGGCAGTAGTGGTGTTCCTTTAGTCAATTGGGTAAATGTATGTCTTTGCAAATTCATTTAGTTAGTGAATATGCTTGTGTTATAGAAGATCATCATTTTTTTTCTAGCAGCAAATGGCTGAGGACATGTCCCTGGATTTTTTGACTTTATAGAATTTGCTTCTTAGATGGATTCAATATCATCATTGTTAATTGTATATTGAATGGTCTGAAGATGCATGACTCCCTCAGTGTCTTACTGCACTTGAACTTGGCATTCAGATTTGAGAAGCATTATCTCAAACAAAAATTTAGTTTGGTTTGAGTGTAATACACCCGTGCATGCTGTGGTCATTTTTGGTGATATGAGGTTCATTTCAGTTGCTGCCTTTTAGTTTCTATTCTTAATAATTGATTTTTGGGAACTCTTATTTCAAATTAAGCTGCCTAGAAATGGTCAAATTTTTTGACCAAGTTTTTTAAGAAAATGAATATGAGAACTTTTTTTGGACAAATCCATTTAAGCAAACTAATTTAGCATCATCAGTAGCAGAATTCTCTAAGATAACATGAGAATTGAGTTGCGTGGATTTCCTTATGTATAAACACTCCCTTTTTCTTATTGTATGATTTTGCTTAGTTACCAACATACTTTTCCAGCTCAGTGAAAGCCCTTGAGGTCTTGAAATACCACATATCCCTTCGTTTTTTTCCAAAAAACTGATACCACATTTTTTTGGATGTTTCTTTAGCCTTCTTCTTGTTAATGGAAGAAAAATATATTTTTTGTATTTGAATGCTTTTGTTTAGAAGAAATTCATTGTAAGCTGAGAGAAGTGCAGTTTGTATGTTTAAATCAATGCACCTTGTCAGTTCCTCCATGTTTTTATAGGTTTTTATAGTTTTGTTTGGAGAAATAGATAGCATTTTTGTATGGAATTAGCAATGTATTAATATTTGCTTAATTTATTTTGCTTATTGTTATTGCTGTGTGTTTCTTGTAGGATACAATCATTGGTAGAACTGGTTCTAAAAAAAAAAAAAAAAAAAAAATCCATTGGTAGAAGAGTGGTGCTGATCAGGTTATTGTGGACCGTTCTTTTAGTAACTTGCTGCTAACTGGAACACACAGATATATACATGTGGATGTAGCTATGTTCGAACATGAGCAAGGGAGCATGGGAAAGGAGAAAGGATCAGGTCAGGTGGTTGCTGCTTTCATCTTCTGATGTGTTTAGTGGCTATATCATATATGCATTTTGATGGTGTTTTGAAGAAGGTTATGGAAATTCAATTGATGAATGAACCATTCTTGAGATTCTTTTGACATTGTCGATTTACATAAATGAAGGTATTTCAGAATAAGATGGGAATTTCACTTTCACAATGGGTGAATACTTAATTACTACTTGAAACCCTTGTCAGTTCACTTGTTCTAGCACAGGAGGTAACAAGGAAAACTCAAGCTATAAGGAAACCTTGCCTTGAGGGAGGCTGTAGGAAGGAGTATTAGATTCATTAACCTTCAATATGTTGTCCATGTAAAGTCTGACATGTTCTTAATTAGCATTGGTTTCATGAGGTTTATGCCGGAAGACATGGTCACATGGCAGCATCTTCTCTATGTAATATAAGGATACAGTGTGTTGATTTGCATTAATAAAGGATGTGGAGCCAAACCCAACCCGCCACCCCCCGCAGCCGCGCACGGCCTTTCTTCTCTTCCCCTGAGGTGATGTTCTCTTCTCATCTTTAAAGTGCTTATAGAGTAATCCTTCAAAAGCTGTTTCAGTCTAATGATTCTACCTTGTTTTCTTTCTTTCTTGTTTAGCTTTTCACCCAAGCGTCAAGTAGGGACTTATAAGTTGTAGAATATAAAAAGGTAGGCATACACCTCCTACGTATCTGATAATAATTAATATTATGATACTTTGTGGATATTTTCGTGTTCAAGCAATATATATAATTTTTGAGTTGAATTTTTAACATTTTCTTTCGAATTCACATATCATACAATACATTTACAAAAATTCATACTACTTTAAAGGCACGTGAGTATTTTTTTTAAGTATTATTTACAATTATATGTCAAAAGAGTATAAAATAAATTTATTACATTATAGTTTTAGTAAAAATTACTTCTAAATAAACCGATTCGGTAAATATTAGTTTTGATTCCTTTAATTAATCATTTTACTTTGTGAATATACCATAGTGATACAATATATATTTTCTTTAAACTAAAAAGAATTACTAATTTTTTTATTGTGTTAAAGAACTGCTAAAATATAAGTATTATGTTGATTGAAAATAATAAAAATATTAAATATATTTTGTTATAGTCGTATCTTGACCGTATCCGTATTTTTTTTTGTTTTTTAGATTTTATCGTATCGACATATCTGTATCGTATTATATCCCTTATCCATATCCGTGTTTCATAAACACCAACTAAGACCGAATGAATTCAATCATTACGCGCAGTCGACAGCAGTCAAAGAGACGGATTTCGATCTTTCACGTATGCTTTCTCTCACTTCCATTCAATAGAAATTGACCATATACGGTCGGGATATAATTTGTGAGTCTTACTTAAATTCACGATTTATCATCCAATGAAATTTAAGAAGTGAACTGCCCAAATTGTTATGGTTATTCAATTATCTCTCCAAGACTATGTAGTCCATTTTTTTCGTTTAGAGCTTCTTGCTTAGCCAGTTATCTTTGCTATTTGTTTTCGGTTGAAATCAGAGTTCATAGAAATAAGCAATTTATGGCCTAGTAGAGCTGTAGAGGACCAATTGACAAAAATCATATGTGACCCATTGTATGGTATTGTCCAGATCATTTAATTTCTTGCTTATGTCTGCAAATCTCAGGCTTATGGCATTGTATTAGCACCAAGACAAACACAAGGAAGCTTCACAACTACAGAAAACTAAAAATCAAAGCTTGTTGTGACTTGTTGTCTCTGTTAGACAACAAGCAAGAACAACAAACAGTGATTGTGACATCAGAGAAGTGTTGGTAGAGGAATTATGAGTTTGGATTCTCTGAATTCAGACTGAAATTCAAATAATGAGTCTCATTTAAAGTAGTCGCACGATGAGAATTGAGGGGTCAAGATTCGATCAATTGGTTTTCACAAGATTTTGAAAGCCATCTATTGTGTTAAGTTGAATCTTAACTGTACAATTCTTATCTTTTTGTTGTTTTGAGTCGAAATCGAGTATCGTACAAATTTTGACAAAGTTGACAAAACTCGAGTAATTTTGTATTNTCTTACTTAAATTCACGATTTATCATCCAATGAAATTTAAGAAGTGAACTGCCCAAATTGTTATGGTTATTCAATTATCTCTCCAAGACTATGTAGTCCATTTTTTTCGTTTAGAGCTTCTTGCTTAGCCAGTTATCTTTGCTATTTGTTTTCGGTTGAAATCAGAGTTCATAGAAATAAGCAATTTATGGCCTAGTAGAGCTGTAGAGGACCAATTGACAAAAATCATATGTGACCCATTGTATGGTATTGTCCAGATCATTTAATTTCTTGCTTATGTCTGCAAATCTCAGGCTTATGGCATTGTATTAGCACCAAGACAAACACAAGGAAGCTTCACAACTACAGAAAACTAAAAATCAAAGCTTGTTGTGACTTGTTGTCTCTGTTAGACAACAAGCAAGAACAACAAACAGTGATTGTGACATCAGAGAAGTGTTGGTAGAGGAATTATGAGTTTGGATTCTCTGAATTCAGACTGAAATTCAAATAATGAGTCTCATTTAAAGTAGTCGCACGATGAGAATTGAGGGGTCAAGATTCGATCAATTAGTTTTCACAAGATTTTGAAAGCCATCTAATCTAATGTGTTAAGTTGAATCTTAACTGTTTAATTCTTATCTTTTTGTTGTTTTGAGTCGAAATCGAGTATCGTACGAATTTTGACAAAGTTGACAAAACTCGAGTAATTTTGTATTTATTTTTTTGAGTAAATAACAGGAAGTCTTATCTTAGGGATTCCAACCCCCCCCCCCTCTTTTCTCTCTCTCTCTCTCTCTCTCTCTATATATATATATATATATATAAGAAGAAGAATATTCGTGTACTCAAAGGGATAAGGGGGTGGGGGACATGGGACCCATTCGAACCTTTAACTTGACACAAGAAGACTCTTAACTGTAACATAATAATCCTGCAAGCCACACCCAGACCCAGCTAAAATGCCACCTTTTGCATAGTCACAAATTGAAGCCATTATAACAGGGAATTGGTCAAAAAAACAGAGGATGATGGTCAATAGTTTCTGTACAAATTGAGTCGATTTTCGGCAAATCGATGGTTAATTACTAACAAAAATAATTAGAGGCCACTTGTTCATTAAATAAGTTTAAGTATTTTACATATTATTCACCAAATACTAATTGAATATTTGCAATTTGTTCTCTTAGAAAGAAGACTTTTGGATATGTCATAGACTAAGCTATTTTGGTGACTTTCGATTACATTATCTGTTTAGGTAAAGGTCAATGCTTCCAACTAACAACTCATTGGCAAATAAAATTAAATATATTACTTAGTATACAATATTCTCGTCTATAATGAGATATAATAAAAGAAAATGGTAGATGATATTAGTCCCGCCTTGAAGAAGTTGATTTCAGAAAATCAAATGTTGAATATATCATAGGAATTTTCAATTGCAGCCTTTACTGATTAACTACAAAAAAGCTNGATACAATCATTGGTAGAACTGGTTCAAAAAAAAAAAAAAAAAAAAAATCCATTGGTAGAAGAGTGGTGCTGATCAGGTTATTGTGGACCGTTCTTTTAGTAACTTGCTGCTAACTGGAACACACAGATATATACATGTGGATGTAGCTATGTTCGAACATGAGCAAGGGAGCATGGGAAAGGAGAAAGGATCAGGTCAGGTGGTTGCTGCTTTCATCTTCTGATGTGTTTAGTGGCTATATCATATATGCATTTTGATGGTGTTTTGAAGAAGGTTATGGAAATTCAATTGATGAATGAACCATTCTTGAGATTCTTTTGACATTGTCGATTTACATAAATGAAGGTATTTCAGAATAAGATGGGAATTTCACTTTCACAATGGGTGAATACTTAATTACTACTTGAAACCCTTGTCAGTTCACTTGTTCTAGCACAGGAGGTAACAAGGAAAACTCAAGCTATAAGGAAACCTTGCCTTGAGGGAGGCTGTAGGAAGGAGTATTAGATTCATTAACCTTCAATATGTTGTCCATGTAAAGTCTGACATGTTCTTAATTAGCATTGGTTTCATGAGGTTTATGCCGGAAGACATGGTCACATGGCAGCATCTTCTCTATGTAATATAAGGATACAGTGTGTTGATTTGCATTAATAAAGGATGTGGAGCCAAACCCAACCCGCCACCCCCCGCAGCCGCGCACGGCCTTTCTTCTCTTCCCCTGAGGTGATGTTCTCTTCTCATCTTTAAAGTGCTTATAGAGTAATCCTTCAAAAGCTGTTTCAGTCTAATGATTCTACCTTGTTTTCTTTCTTTCTTGTTTAGCTTTTCACCCAAGCGTCAAGTAGGGACTTATAAGTTGTAGAATATAAAAAGGTAGGCATACACCTCCTACGTATCTGATAATAATTAATATTATGATACTTTGTGGATATTTTCGTGTTCAAGCAATATATATAATTTTTGAGTTGAATTTTTAACATTTNCTATATATATATATATATATATAAGAAGAAGAATATTCGTGTACTCAAAGGGATAAGGGGGTGGGGGACATGGGACCCATTCGAACCTTTAACTTGACACAAGAAGACTCTTAACTGTAACATAATAATCCTGCAAGCCACACCCAGACCCAGCTAAAATGCCACCTTTTGCATAGTCACAAATTGAAGCCATTATAACAGGGAATTGGTCAAAAAAACAGAGGATGATGGTCAATAGTTTCTGTACAAATTGAGTCGATTTTCGGCAAATCGATGGTTAATTACTAACAAAAATAATTAGAGGCCACTTGTTCATTAAATAAGTTTAAGTATTTTACATATTATTCACCAAATACTAATTGAATATTTGCAATTTGTTCTCTTAGAAAGAAGACTTTTGGATATGTCATAGACTAAGCTATTTTGGTGACTTTCGATTACATTATCTGTTTAGGTAAAGGTCAATGCTTCCAACTAACAACTCATTGGCAAATAAAATTAAATATATTACTTAGTATACAATATTCTCGTCTATAATGAGATATAATAAAAGAAAATGGTAGATGATATTAGTCCCGCCTTGAAGAAGTTGATTTCAGAAAATCAAATGTTGAATATATCATAGGAATTTTCAATTGCAGCCTTTACTGATTAACTACAAAAAAGCTTGTGACATCAAGTAGAGGACAATAAGGGCACCACTCTTCTAATGTTGTTCAGGTCATTTGGAAAAGGAGAAAAAGGCATAAAAAAAAAGAGGAAAAGGGGAAAAGGGGAAAAGANAAATGTTGAATATATCATAGGAATTTTCAATTGCAGCCTTTACTGATTAACTACAAAAAAGCTTGTGACATCAAGTAGAGGACAATAAGGGCACCACTCTTCTAATGTTGTTCAGGTCTTTTGGAAAAGGAGAAAAAGGCATAAAAAAAAAAGAGGAAAAGGGGAAAAGGGGAAAAGAGCTTTATTTAGTTTTTGTACTGGAAAAAGAAGCTTTTATATCTCGATCATTCATGAAGAAACATAGCAGACTTGAGCAAATGGATTTGAGTCTCTCCAAAAATGGTGTACAGTGCACAAGACTCTAATTTATATACCGGAGTCTTAAAAAAAATAATATACAAAATTTGATTCCATTTAAAGAGTCTCGCAATCGTTCTTGGACTCGAATCCGAAAAGGGTCAAGCTCCTTTTTTAAATAAGCTTAAAANCATGAAGAAACATAGCAGACTTGAGCAAATGGATTTGAGTCTCTCCAAAAATGGTGTCCAGTGCACAAGACTCTAATTTATATACCGGAGTCTTAAAAAAAATAATATACAAACTTTGATTCCATTTAAAGAGTCTCGCAATCGTTCTTGGACTCGAATCCGAAAAGGGTCAAGCTCCTTTTTTAAACAAGCTTAAATNATATACAAAATTTGATTCCATTTAAAGAGTCTCGCAATCGTTCTTGGACTCGAATCCGAAAAGGGTCAAGCTCCTTTTTTAAATAAGCTTAAAAAATTGTTTAAGTTCGGCTCATTTTTAGAACGAGTTAAGCCCGAACCTAACTCAAAACGAGTCCAATTCGAGTTGAACTCGAATAATTTAACTATTTTATATATAAACGAGTCAAACTGAGTCTTTTTGTTCTTATCAAGCCTTATACGAGTTGAATCCGAACTAAACAACAATAACTTGACTCGATTATCANGAGTCCAATTCGAGTTGAACTCGAATAATTTAACTATTTTATATATAAACGAGTCAAGCTGAATCTTTTTGTTCTTATCAAGCCTTATACGAGTTGAATCCGAACTAAACAACAATAACTTGACTCGATTATCAACCCTAGTTACAAATATTAGAGTGAAACCAACTTCACATAGTTGGGTTCTTCACCCATATCCGGCGAATGATTCCAACATTTATGCAAAATTGGAGGAAAGAAACTTGTTTCCCAAGCAAGATCAGAGCAAACAAACAGAAAACTAACTTCGTTAGAAAAAAAAAGCGGAAAGAGAAGCAACTTAGCACTTGTCTTTCTTCTTCCTTTCACAACTACAAAACGTGTTCCCTAAGCTCATTTTCCTATTCATTATACATATATATATATATATGTCCATTCTCTCTCATTCACAGATCAAACCAGCAAAGAGTTTCTAAACAAAACTCAATNTCCTTTCACAACTACAAAACGTGTTCCCTAAGCTCATTTTCCTATTCATTATACATACATATATATATATATATGTCCATTCTCTCTCATTCACAGATCAAACCAGCAAAGAGTTTCTAAACAAAACTCAATCTTGTACCCTACCATTTCAAACCCAAATTTTCACCTACGTGGTCCCTTGGAGGGAAAAAAAAACCATCTTCATGATCAGTTGATTCAATTCAAAATGGACCACAGGACATCTATAGAAAGTGAAGAAAGCATTCGTTTGCAGATTGCTGAGATGGACTCGAGGATCGGAGAAACCAGCGTTGCAGGTCCGACCATTTTTGATCCCCAGAACAGTATCAACACAAAAAACAGCAGCAACACAAATTCAGGTTCTTCTACTACTAGACCAGCAGTGCATGCACCGGAAAAGAAACTGACCATCTTCGCCCTCCGGCTAGCTGTGCTGGAGAAAACAGCCACTGGCCTTGGAACTCTCGGGTTCATCTGGGCTACAGTTGTTCTTCTTGGTGGATTTGCCATTACTCTTGACAAAACAGACTTCTGGTTCATAACCATAATTTTGTTGATCGAGGGGACTCGAATATTCAGTAGGAGTCATGAGCTTGAATGGCAACACCAAGCCACATGGTCAATCACTGATGTAGGAATCAACAGCTTCCGTACCATAAGGTCCAGCTCACACTTGATCATCAAAACGGTGAAGGTGATTTTTAGGCCAATTTCTGCAGTTGGGAAGCCAAGCAGGCACAGCAGGGAAATTGCAGATAGTTTGCACCAGGGAGGCCGTGGAGACTGGGATCAAAAGAAGACGCCAACCAGATCATGGGTAAGCTCAGATGTTCCGATGCTGCCATATGCTCCATGGGTTTTTATCTCCAAAAATGTTAGCAAGCTTCTGTATTGGCTACAACTTGCATCTGCAACAGCCTGTGTTGTTCTTTCTTCGATGAAGCTTATTCGACACAACTATGGTGAAGTCGCCAAAGGAGATAGCGATAGGAGGAACAGGAATGCTGCTTTATATATTTTCTATTCCTTGGCCTTGGCCGAAGCATTGTTGTTTCTCCTGGAGAAAACGTACTGGGAATGGAAGGTCAACTACTGTAAAGTGCTGGATAAGGTGAACAAGGAGTGTGAGTTGGGGCCTTCAGGATTGATATACACCAGAAGGTTTTTCTATGATGCCTATTCAAGATGTGTCAATGGAAGCATTTTTGATGGCATAAAAATGGATATGGTATCATTTGCCATGGAACTCTTGAACTCAAATTCTCCGGATGAGCAGCTAATGGGAGCTCGGATTCTACGACAATTTGCAAAGAGCAAGCAGTTTTCTGATGACACACTACAAAAGATTGGAATAACCATATCTGTTATTGAAAGATTAGTAGAGATGCTGAACTGGAAAGATCCTCAGGAGGAAGAGATCAGGCACTCAGCGGCAAAGATCTTGTCAAAATTAGCTGGTAAAAAGCAGAACTCTCTTCGGGTAGCTGGTATACCAGGTGCAATGGAATCAATATCGTCTCTGCTCCATATTAACAGGAACTCAAGTGGAGCAGCTGATGAAATCTCGGAAAAGAAGATCATTTTTGACAATGAACATTACGATTTTTGGACATTCAATCATCTGGGGCTTCTCATCCTAAAGAAACTTGCCCGCGACCATGACAACTGCGGAAAGATTGGAAACACAAGAGGCCTATTACCAAAAATAATAGATTTCACACATGCAGGAGAGAGATTATTAAGGGACGAAACCGTTACCCCATCTAAAATTTTGACAGTGAAGCGATCTCTGCAAGTGATGAAGATGCTGGCAAGCACCACAGGAGCCACTGGTAAACAGCTCCGGAAGGGGATTTCAGAGGTAGTTTTCACAATTAGCAACATCAGAGACATATTACGATATGGGGAGAAACACCCGATGCTACAAAACTTGGGTATAGAAATTTTAACAAGTCTGGCTTTGGAAGAAGATGCAACCGAAAGGATTGGGGGCACAGGTGGAGTTCTCAAAGAACTGTTCAACATTTTCTTCAAAGAGGGGATGCCTGAGGACCAGAATCATGTGAGAATTGCAGCTGGAGAAGCGCTAGCAATGCTAGCATTGGAAAGCAAGAATAATTGTCATCGCATTTTTAAATTGAAGGTGGCCGAAAAGCTTGTTGAAGCATTGGAAATTCCATTGCTTCGCATAAATGCAGCTAGAATTATGAGAAATCTGTGCAGGTACTCTGGAGGAGATTGCTCTGAACAATTAAGGGGCTTCACAGCGGCAGGATCAACTGTAAGTTGTGTTTTAAGTGTTTTCTTTGACATAAAAGAGTACATAACAGAAAAGAAACATGGCCAACAATTAGGATGGCAATTATTAACACAAGTTGCCAATCCTAAACGAAATTAGAGGATATGGGTTTGTTCTTAATGGGTTCTGATCACAAACGGATTGATCCCCTATACCCGTTTAGTAAATGAGTTGACACAAACATGGCTAAACACAACATAAACCCAACTAAACACTACTAAGAAAGACAATATGACAAGACCACCTTACATACAATTGTCTTTCTCCTCCTTAGTATGTACATTCTATGGAAATAATATGATCTCCTCTGTGGCAGGTGCTTAAAGCAATCATGACAGAAGGCAGCAAATTGCAGGAAGTGATGATTGGACTAGCAGCACATGTTTTCAAGTTAATGACATCTCAGGAGTCGAGTATCATGTTCGAGAGAGCTGGGGTTCAAGAAGCTGAATTAGCTAGCACAATAGTCCAGATTCTAAACAACTATCAGTACCCACATATCAAGATTCCAAGAATGAGGAGGTTTGCCATAGAGTTGGCAATTTGGATGATGAGAGATAAGAAGACAAATGTTCAAACATTCAAAAATCTGGGCATGGAGAAGGAACTGGAGTGTGTTATAGAAACCACTTCAGAACTAGAAAGCTTCACTATTTTCTCTGGGACTGTTGGGCTGAGTCGGCACAGCACGACAATTCATTCCCTAGTTGAAACTGCGATGAAGTTGCTGGCGGATAAGTAAATTACAGTGATGCAACACAGATTCCCAGAAACAACATGCAATGATCTTGTAAATAAATAATTCAGGATATTCTTTTTTCTTAGAAGTAATAAAAAAGCAGAGAGTAAAATTCTTGCAATAACATAGAGCTCAAGTCCTACCTAAAAGAACAGCCACTGAGCATGTAAGCTTTAACCAACAACTCTGACCTATTAGTGCATAGTAGTTTTAGGTCTGCTTAAGCCTGTCATACACCATAGAGCTCTCATGTTATGCAATAACCATCTAGGATTTGAACCCATCCTATCTAAAAGAGTAAAATAGGACAGCCCAATGCACGAGGCTCCCCTCACTATAGGATCAGGAAAAGGATAGATGTAAGCAGACTTAATCCCGAGTACGAAAAGACTTCGCAACTCAAACCAGTGACTCCATAAGGGAGCAACCATACACTAATGCCTGACTCTCACTATTGTAGGGTCTAAATAGTGTTTCCATGACTCAAGCCTATGACGTCCAAGTCATAATCATGGTTGAAAGTCTCAGTTAATATCAATACAACTTGGCACCATCTGTTTCTACACTCTGCATAAACCGTGACTCGGNATCCAAGTCATAATCATGGTTGAAAGTCTCAGTTAATATCAATACAACTTGGCACCATCTGTTTCTACACTCCGCATAAACCGTGACTCGGTCGAGTCATCCAACATGTCTTCAAATTAACCCGAACCATCCAAGTCATCATTATCAAATTGGCTGATATCGCCCTGGCATGCTTGGAACAATCCTACCCTTGTGTCTAGTCAAACAAGCCATGATTTGAACCCATCCTCTGTTGGCTTAAAATAGAAGAAGCAGCCTCTTATTTTTCCTTTGGAGGGTTGATAGTAATCTGGCTCCAAATGGAAGAACATGTCCAATCTGTTAGTTATGACGCACCACATAGCTTACTGACTGATAACTTACCACATCTCTTTTGCAGTATGGCAGAAAAAAAAGAAAGAAAGAAAGAAAGCATCCTTTCTCCTTAATTTGAAGAAGGCTTCATCCAAGCCCACCCATAGTCACCATAAAGCAGAAGGAAATACTTCTTATTGTCTTGAACTAAGAGAAAAAGGGCTATCTAAGCAAAATAATACTCAAATCTTAACTAACTCAGAAAAAAAAAAACCTCAAATCTCAGCCAGAGTGCAGGAATGTTGTTAGACAACAATCACAAGAGTCAGGAGATTAAGACGTGAATCAAACAAGCTGACGTATTAAGACATGCCTGCGTTTGTTAAACTTTAGATGGCCTTCAGGAAATTTATTCTCTTCAAGGGGTCATGAGTCCCTTTGGAGTCAACATGCTCTGGTTTTTTCACAGAATATCATAATATAAAGTAGAAACACAAACATAAGTAATTTTATAGTTCAGATACCATTGACCATATATTGCTTCTGAGAAGTAGAGGAGAATGGAGCAGAGAAAGAAAATAAAATCGACGAACATGTTTATTCATACTTTCAAGAAAAATTAGAACTCCAAGTAGAAGCCATATGAAGCAATATCCATATCCACAGAAAGGCAGCATGAGTATAGCGCCAGTTATTCATCCTAAGACATTAATATAACATTCCCGAAAGTGCCCANCAAGTAGAAGCCATATGAAGCAATATCCATATCCACAGAAAGGCAGCATGAGTATAGTGCCAGTTATTCATCCTAAGACATTAATATAACATTCCCGAAAGTGCCCGCAACAATCCTGAGCAATTCTGTACAACTAATAAGATGTCTTTTCCCTCCACCCTTCTTAGAGAAATTAAAACTCCAATTATTTAACTTTCCCAGAAAGGGCACAAAAGGCTTCATGGAAACAAGCAACAAGCTTTACCAAAAATTTCACTTATCTCTAAGAAGCGGCTATCTTGACTTCTGTTTCAACTTCTTGCAATTGAGTAACACGATGCTGAAAAAGAACAGCATCCGGCAGCTTAGCCAATTACTTTCGAAACTACCCCTGCTCCAACTGTCCTCCCTCCTTCTCTCAAAGCAAATCTTTGTCCTGTTTTACCAGTAATCAAACAAATTCTGAGATCTAAAACAAATCAAGATTTCACAAAAATTACTGTAAAAACAAAGAAGTAATCAAATAAGCAATGCAATTTAGAAGTAATATGACATGACATTATAACTCTGACACAAGATTAGATTTTGTATGGTATCAGAAATTTAACACCTTATGCTGAAAAAATACTAGCAAGCAATAGGGCCTTTAAATGCCTAAGATACATCTCATGTATATCACAACCATAAAATAACAAAGACCGTAATGAAGAACCAACAACAACATTGCTTTTTCACCAAAAAGACCCATTGAGATTAAAATAAAGCTGTTCAGGTCATTCAGTTTTGTCAACAGGTCTGCCTCAGACAAATGTCTGAAAAAAAACTAAAATTTATCAGTAATTCATTTATGAAAATTTTTATTCTTTTTAAATTTAAGCTCTGCACGCGAAAACATAGGGACAAGCCTAATATTTTATGGAAACAGCATAATTTTATGATGCAAGCACTTCAAAATATTAGCTTCATCAACTCAGCATATCCCCAAGAACCAGAACCAAGTTAAACAATAAGATCAATGCCATGACAAAGTAAATGCATTTGATCCAGCTATTGAGTACAATTTTCTTGAACAATCACAATGCAACAACTATTTTAAGACTTGACCTCACTACATTTTGTGATGATTTATGCAACCTGTTCCATTTACCCTTTCTGTGTGAGTATTGAATTTAGGATGTCTTAGATTGGAAACTTTATACACTATATTTCATTTCAAGGAAGACCAATATCCATTCTGCTTAAGGTACATTAATGAACAGAAACCAATAAAACATGAGGAAAAATGCATACTCCTCTAGCTACAATGAAAGTGAGAAAAAAATAATTTAAAGATAACAGGAAATACGATGCCTAAAAATGAGAAGCAAGCAACAGTGTATCAGCACAAGTTTGTTAAACTATAAAAAGGACTCCAACAAACCTGCTTCGAGGGGAACAGGTGATATCAGCTCAAAAACTGCAGACACATTATCTCCGGGCATCACCATCTTGACATTTTCAGGCAACTCCACTTTCCCAGTAATATCTGCAGTCCTCATGTAAAACTGAGGCATATAATTCGAGAAAAATGCAGTGTGGCGGCCACCTTCATCTTTTGTGAGAACATAAATCTCTGCCTCAAAACGCTTATATGTTTTCAGGGTTCCAGGTTTGGAAATTACCTGTGATAGTCACTATAATGGTCAAAAGTATAGAATTGTTGAAGCTCCATACATAATATATCACAAAAATGAAGCCAATAAGACGATGCAAGGAAAACTTGGATGGTGCTACAATTTCTTGTCAAGTAATGTCTATGCACATCTTATATCCACTTTCGCTCACCTGTCCACGCTGTACATCTTCACGTTTCAAACCACGCAATAGAAGGCCAACATTGTCACCTGCCTGCAAGCAAGGCAATTCAATAATAATGCCCTGCCTGCACAAAATAGAAGTGTCTGCAAGTGAGGTCAGAAACTATTCAATTACTTCTCCATGATCCAAAATTTTCTTAAACATCTCAACGCCTGTCACTGTAGTCTTGAGAGGCCCACTCTACAGAAAAATGGACAGAAGTAAGAAGTATAACGTGAGGAACAAATTGCGAAATTCACAAAAGAAACTCCAAAAGCATGATTCACAGATTTTGGTATATATTCTACATTACATAATATACCTGCATCAATCCTAAAACTTCAACTTCCTCACCAACTTTAATGGTACCCTGTTCAACACGGCCAGTGACAACAGTCCCTCGTCCCTTTCAGAAAATGAAGAAATCATTAAAACTAGGTGGCACTAAACCTTGTATTCAACTTCTGGCAATATCACATGGTACTTCCTATAGTCTTAAAGGAAACTCATTAAAATAAAAGTTCATGTGGTGGCCATATATTCAGAAATCAAATAAATATTTGATTTCCATGAGAAGAAACCACAAAGGACTTCGAAAATGAATATTATATTATTACAAGCTTGGAATTCATAAGTTGGAACCAAGAACATAAAATATTTGTTTATACATGATAATACACATCATGGACCAGCTCATTTATACTTGTCCACCTACGTATTTTTTCTTCTTGTAACTAAAGCATAAGAGAAGTTGATAATGACATATGATCATAAAATTTGCTTCACATTGTATAAAACTAAATTTTTTTTTTCATTGTATAAAACTATAAATCACTTCAATAGCAAACAAAAGTTACCCTGTGAATCAACTCAAAATAAGGTGAGATTTGAGAAAAAAAATGTTGTAGTCCTCGTGTGCAGTGTTACATATATGAAGCAGTTTGACAGTCACTGTGCTCAACCTTGAACCCTTGGCCTTGTCATTGATTTTTCAACACCAAACAGGCCACAATGGGACAGGCAGCAATGTCACATAAAAGAAAGGATATTTGACACTTCCAACTTTCTTTCTATTATATACACACTAATATTATTTTCGAAATTCTGTTAGCCATTACTTTTTCTTTCTATTCATCGCCAGATCTAAAACACTATCTCAAAATACATTGACAGTACAATACAGGAAAAACACATTAACACATGTAACCAAAGAATTAGCTTTGGTGAGACAATTGTGCAGAGGAATTGGATTTATCTTGGAACAACAACAGCAATAAACTGCAATGCAGTAGAGATTGTCATTGAAAATGCATGTCCACACACCTGAATTGAAAAGACATCTTCAATTGGCAGTAAGAAAGGCTTGTCAAGCTGGCGGACAGGGTCAGTTATGTATTCATCCACAGCTTCCATTAATTTTAAGATAGCCTTTTTGCCAAGTTCTTCGTTTGCCCCTTGTAAAGCAGACAAAGCAGAACCTCTGATAATTGGGATGTCATCCCCAGGGAACTTGTAGAAGTTGAGCAACTCTGCAAGAATTGGTTGCCCGCATAACCAAAGTCAGCAAAATCATGTTATAACTTAAGCAAGCAGTAGAAGAACAATTGTGTGATAGACAACAGGTAGCAGAAGCGTCTAAAAACCATAAATTGTTAAGAGACCATACCACGTAGTTCCATCTCAACAAGGTCGAGTAGCTCCAGATCATCAACAGCATCAACTTTGTTGAGAAAGCACACCAAAGATGGAACACCAACCTGAATCAGACAACTATAAATAAATCCTTGTTTCGTATCGAAATGGAAAACTTAAATGTCTTCCAATGCCCCACCTGGCGGGCAAGCAGAATATGTTCCTTTGTCTGTGGCATGGGTCCATCTGGAGCAGATACCACCAGGATGCCCCCATCCATTTGGGCAGCTCCAGTTATCATGTTCTGTAATTCAACCATACCAATGAGGTGAGTCAAATAACAGGATCCTTGGAATAAATGTCATCCAGTAAAAATAATCGCATGCACATGCTGCAATCGACCACCAATGGATATCAAGATGATTCCTATCATATAAAGCAAAGAGGAAAACTCACTTAACCAAGACATTTACACCAGATTATACATTGATATCTAGCATCAAAGACCTTGGTCCCCACAAAAATCACATATTGAGTTTCTCAGGTGTAATTGTATAAACAATCACATTAAGTGGACATTCCTATTGGCTTCCTTCATCAAAAACAACACCCACACAAACAAAAAACAGAGGGAAAAAACCACGATACCCATTGTTTATTTGGACTCTAACAGCTTAATTAAATAAAGAAAAAAATACGTGAGTTGGAACAATTGCTGTATCAATCATCTTCTTCAATATTTTCCCTTTTCTTTGTAGCACTAAGCTTCACCAGCATCCATGGAAGGCCATTAAGATGCTGTAGAAGTCAAGAAATATGACTATTCTCGCTCATATGATATCAAACAATGAGATGACTTACTTTAACATAGTCTGCATGTCCTGGGCAATCAACATGTGCATAGTGCCGCTTAGTAGTTTCATACTCCACATGAGCCTGAAACAGTGTCAAAAGTAAGCTCAAAAGTAGTCCTACAATGCACGAAAATCAGGAAACAGAAATTGAAGCCTTACAACAAGGAAAGGCCATGTTTGACAAGTGAAGGACTAAATTGAGAGAGAAGGAAAAAAAACATATCCTAACTGTAGCAATCGTAATTCCTCTCTTCTTCTCTTCAGGAGCCTTGTCAATCTCATCAAATGCAACAGCCTTAGCTTTGCCTTCTTCAGCTAGCACCTACAGCAAAGTTTAAGAGAAATAGTATCACATAAACGATTTATGTATGAAGTTACATACACCAACCACATGTACAAGAAAAGTGGGAGCTTTTGAGCTCTAAACAAGTTTTAGGCTCTGAGTCTACAGACAAAACAAAGCAACAATCTACGTTTAAGTGATCAAATATTGTAGCAATAACTTTACCCTCGTGATTGCAGCAGTAAGTGTAGTTTTCCCATGATCTACATGCCCAATGGTACCCACATTCACATGAGGTTTTCTGCAACTCAGAAAAAACAAACAGAGAGTGGTAAGCTAAATAAAACCAAACATTAAGTGCTAAGCAAAACCCAAGTGAAAGTAATGCAACAACAATTGCTTCTGAATTTCTATAATTAAAAAACCATTTTTGAAAAGTTAGTCATTCTTATTCATGAAGTAAATGGAAGAACTGTGACTAGATTTTCTGTAACAACTCATTTCCTCTATGATCCTGAACGATAAACACCTAGAAATGCAAATATCTAATACTTCTTTTTTTCTTTCCCTGAATTTGGAATCAAAATTACACAACTAAGAATCTCCAACTATATCTCAAATTTTTATTCAAATTTAAATTAACATTTGAATAAAAAGATTAATTTGATAAAAAAACACGATAGACAAACTCAAATTTAAAAAAAATAATAATTTAATTTAAATAAGGGCNATTACACAACTAAGAATCTCCAACTATATCTCAAATTTTTATTCAAATTTAAATTAATATTTGAATAAAAAAAGATTAATTTGATAAAAAAACACGATAGACAAACTCAAATTTAAAAAAAATAATAATTTAATTTAAAAAAGGGCAAACCTAAATTTAAAAAGGAGTAAAGATGATTATTAGATTTTAAGGGTGAAATCTCACCAAAATTTGAGTAAAAATTTGAATCTCTTTGATTTAAATGAAAATTTGAGTCGTCCTTAATTTAATATAAATCTTTTATATTTTTTAACTCANTAAAAAAGGGTAAACCTAAATTTAAAAAGGAGTAAAGATGATTATTAGATTTTAAGGGTGAAATCTCACCAAAATTTGAGTAAAAATTTGAACCTCTTTGATTTAAATGAAAATTTGAGTCGCCCTTAATTTAATATAAATCTTTTATATTTTTTAACTCAAATTTAAATTTGAGTCGAGATTTGAGTGCCTAACAAAATCATCGAAATTTATATATGGAACAATATGATTTTGACAGGAGGCCGGGTAGGAAACTGACGTTCTCGTGAAAGTGGCCATGGATCGCCACTGGAGAGTGAAGTCCGAGGCTTTTGCATTTCCGTTGAGGGAATGAGAAACGAGGGATTGGGTGGGAGTCGGTAGTCCTCGACAACACGAGTAAGTCGGAGAAAAAATGATCGATAACAAGTGCTTTGAACTGCGAGCTTTGATCGCCCACGAAGCCATGAAAACGATCAACTCACGATAAACGATAGATCAGTGTGTGTGTGTGTGTGAGTGCGTTTGTGTTTGTATCGGAGTGAAACGGAGGTTTTGAGAGCCGCCGTTGAAGGTTTTAGAGAGTTGATAGCATTTCTGTTAGTTAAATAGCTTAAGGTCTAGAGCTTAACGTGGTGGGATCGATGCTCGATGTCTCTCTCGCGGGTATGCCTCTTGGTGGACAGGTTCGTGTATTCGTAACTAATTTATTTATTAATTATTTATATAATTTATATATAAATAAATCGTGTCTTATATTTTTTTAATTGACTTTGCACACTAATTCGTTTATTAGCAGTTGGTCTAATGATGATTGCTTCCTCCCTGTAATAGTGCTTGATTAGAGAAAAAGAAAAGCACCAAACAATACACAAACACTGCAATCATACTTGAGAAGAACCACATGATTAATAAAAAGAAAATCCATAATCAATCCTCTTCTTTATCACCAAACGTAGTAGAATGGAATGCATACAAGTGCCCAAAAATATGAAAACCAGTAGAACTGTACTGTACAATATTTGGGGAAAAAAATCACAATCTGCTAAATGTACAGCAGCCCACACAGCCTCCCTGNATGGAATGCATACAAGTGCCCAAAAATATGAAAACCAGTAGAACTGTACTGTACAATCTTTGGGGAAAAAAATCACAATCTGCTAAATGTACAGCAGCCCACACAGCCTCCCTAAGTTCCTTCCTCTATTCCCACGAATGACAAGAGTTGTAACTTTTCTGGTCAAAGATTCAACATATGTAAAATAGAATTGCAACATAAACCTGATGTAACAGAACCACCTCCACAAAAATATACACATTGAGAGCATTTTCTTTTCTTTTCTTTTTTCTGGGTCAACTAATTTACGGCACTAATTCTGGCCAATTTCTTGGATACCAAACAAACAATACACCATTCAAATTGCCTTATAAGCAAAACCAAAATCATCATTTGTTCCGAAAGAAGTTAAGATCCCAACGGCGAAACAAACCATCCATGATATTGCTTGTTGGGTTCTTTACAACTGTTACAGTGGCTCTTGTGTGATCATACATGTCAGCATCGGATGAGCTTTGGTTTCCAACTGAAGTGTCGGTATGACCAGGAGTACCTGTACTTCCAGATTCTTTTATTAATGGTGCTGCGTTTGTTGGAGGTTCCCTAGATGATATGCTCAAATCAAGAGTTGGGTGCTGGGCAGCCAAATCATGGCTGTTGGCTGCCAAGGTGGGGTTAGATTTTGTCTTCAAGGGAAAACGTTCATTGGCAGAGGAAGAATCCCCCGAGTCATCTTTATGTGAAGGCTCGGGGGTATCAGTAGCAACTGTAGATGGTGATTCGTCAATATGAGGGTGTCTCATCTCCAAGTCTTTTAATGACTCAATCACTGCTTCCATGAACATCTGAAATATTTTGACAAACCAAAGATTAAGAAGAAGAATTATGTCATCAGAGGATTCGGATCATTTGAATTCAGAACATAGACCCCATAAGGCAGAGTAGGCAATCAATATGACTCACCCTTTCTTCTTCCTCCACATTGCATGGGACATCTGCCAAGTTATCAAGAGGGTATTCAACATACTCATCATCCTCTAGAACTGTAGGAACGTGAGGGCCATAAGGATGACCATTTGAGAGTTCAAAGCTAATCATTTTAGAAGATGATGGAATAGGCTCAGCCCCACTTCCTTCTTCCTGCGATATATGATTGCATGGTGTCAGTAAAATTAGATTAAAGCCCCTCTTTGGTGAACTAGAGGGGGATAGTGAATACATAAATAATCAGATACCTGGGCTCCAGCTTGATTCTCTTTCGAGGAAATATCACACGGGACCTGAACAATTTCAAGGAGCAAATAAACAGCAACCATCAAAATACAAATAGTATAAAGTTTAGACAATGCATCAAAAACCACTTATTTGAGAAATTCTCCTCCTTGGAAAAAAGGAGAGGGAGGGGGTGTTGAAATTGTTAGGTGACCTTCACATATACCATAATCTTACTCGTGCACGGGAAGCATTGTTCCAAACTTTTTATCATGTAAAATTTCCCTTGTAATTACATTTCATTCCCATTGAAGTCACCCTTGTAATTTCCACAATGTCAACTCAACTCAATAAAGTCTTGTCCCAACTATTTGCGGAATATCAATATCTATGTCGTGCCATTATCTTATTAACCAGAGACAGCATAGGTCTTGGAGTTTCAAGTACTTGTGTTAACACTTGAGCAAAACACCCAGACAGCAAATTACTGACCTCCATTTTACTCATAGGTCTTTTGGACCGAAGTTGCCTAATGGCATCTTCTGTGCTACTTGCTGCTGAACCTGCAATTACCGAAACAATCATTACCGAGTAGAAAAGCTTTCCAAATGAAGAGTTCAATGTAAGTCTCAATTGAAAATTCGAGATAAGAAATACATGCCTCTTGATGCTGCCAAAATATCATCTGCATATCCCACTTCATGGACAGTACTCCAACTATTCTGAAGGAAAAACTGTCAACAATAGCTCATTGATTGCCATCGAAATCAGGCAGTTCTGCTAGAATGAATATTGATAATAAGGTGCATTGTAGATCAATTTACCTTGCCCAAGTAATTGTGGGTCGAGTCAAACACAGTTCCACCCACTTCATCTTCTGGAGGTTGCAAAACATTGTTAAAAAAGATGCATATGGAATCGAAGTAGAATTGGGGACGTGGTGAGTTGTGATCGCCCTCAAATTTGATGATATTCTTGTCCCCCTGCAAAAATTAGGTGTCACAATACCAGCACAGTATAATATCTAATAAAAAAATGCTAGACAACAGATCTAATAACCAGATGATTCATTGCAAATGTCTTCTCCATTTCAAAGTATTACCAGCCATTTCTTATCAACTATTTTCCCATAGAATGCAAAACAGCAAAAGATTCTGAAATGACACAAGCAATCAAGCAGAGATGGACATGATTGCATAATGTCATCAGAAAGCATTTAGTATTGAGCCAATCTGAGAATTAACTTTATACTCTCACAATGATGTCTTTCTTTCACATGGGAAATTTGCTTTACAAAGGCTTTTTCAAATGACAATCAGCAGCATTAATAATAGAAAGGAAGATTATAAAAGTACAGCATATTTCCCGAGAAATGACACACAGAAACATTTTACAAAGTAGCAGAACAAACAGTGTGGAAGAAACTAAATCTCCTGAAAGAACAAGAGAAAGTTACCACATAAGCATCAAATATACAATCAGAATGATGAGGCTGTATGAAGTCATCATCAACAGCATGTCCAAACAGAACAGGAACGAAGCAGGATTTTGCTACCTGTAAGAAAAGTTCTTCATGGGATTACTATCATAAGTAGCAGTAAACAACAACATATAAACACCAGTCACACATAAGTGAATCATTGCTTCTCCCACAGTTCAACCAGAAAAAAGTTACATTCATCGCTGGTGCATCCTGACTAATTTTTTATACTGCCATACCTTCCTAGAAAGGTCAAATCATCCATGAAAACAAGACCATAAGACAATAACATCTCCCTTCCAATTTGATTAATGTTACCATTTGTGTTCTAAACGCACTCCCAATAAAACACAACAATTAGATAATGAGGGGAGAACCTTGGAATCATCCCACAATATTTCCCTAACCCCGAAGGGGAGATTTTTTGGAGGGTACAGCTCAAACACACCCCCCATCGGGGTGATTTGGTGGAAGTGACATTGTATTTGGTTCTCAACAAGGGTGGGAGGTAGAACTGGAGGAGGGGAGGGAAGCGATATGAGGGGGGTTCCTTGTGGGTAGCAGGGAATAGTGATAAGGAATAGGAGGAGGAGCAGGGGTAATATTAATATTTTTGAAGGAATCTTTCAGGGCGTCAGCTACTGTCAATAACAGCCATCCATATCAGTGGTGCACTGAAATTTTAAGTAACACAAGGAGTTTTCTTGTAGTTGTGGCATAGAATGTTGCAGAAATTTCCCCATTTTTTAGCATTTCAGTAATCATGCATTGTTTCTAACTAGAAACCTTATGAAAGTACTGCAAGTACGTATTTCACGCCACCATGTTTGTGAAATTGTAATTTAGGCTCTAAAACTATATCTAATATTTCGGCGGCTCATCTGTAAAGTACATCTTCTAAGTTCAAGATGCGAGTCATGCTCATCTTGTTATCTTGCACGCAGAAATGGTACTACATTTAAGTTGCACCACATAACACTAATATTAAAAGCCCAAAAAGGTTGAGGCCGCAAGAAGAGACATGATTACCTTTAATTTAACCATGGATATCACCTGAGATTGGGCCAGAAAGTGAGAAAGGATCATGTAGCTGGTTGACCTAGATGCCATTCAAGGCTTCTGTCATGATTTTGTGCTTGTGTATATTAGCGCAGAGATAGATTCATATATGTCAGAGTATCCAACTCAACCAATTGGCAATGAGTGGAGTAGCCTCTCAAGTGTATAATCAACCTAGGGTGGTCCTAATCATTTGATGTTAGTGGTCCTAATTATTTGATGTAAGACACGAGCTCTTTTTGCAATATCCTACATGAATCGGGAGTATTCTTATGTTTTACCAATTTTTTTACTTCACATATGTACATATTAGATGTCATCTATGTACTACAAAGAAACAAGCTTTTCACAAAATCATCACAATGAAGGCTTAAATACACAAACATGTAAGGGTGAAATAGTCATTCAGTCAGAGACCCTTTATGCAGAATAGTAGAACCAAACCTTGATGGTGTTCAGGTTCATTATGTCAAATTTCGCCTTTTTCTGAATAGCTCTTCGCATGTACTGGATAGCAAACTTCACCTAAAATGACCTCAAAACGGAAACAATTTTTAAGTGTCATGGAGCAGGCCCCAGCACCCAATCTATCACAACCTTTACCATTGATAGCTTCTTCACTGAGCTAAGAAGAGAGAAGACTTCTATAGGAGTACAACATGCATAGTCTTTATATGCATGAGAGTCACTTACAGTGAACTTTGGAAGTCGTATCTTGTAGGTATCCACAAGTTCCATCATCAGATCAACTAAATCAGAGAAAGGGCTGTCAAGAACCATTCCAGCGATTGAAGGATCCTCAGCTCCATACATTAAGCTGAAATGAACAGTTTGTATCATCAATTACTGTAACCCTATGGTCCTATAATGATAAGAAAATTAAAGAAGGAAAAAGCTAAAATGCCTTCATGTAGATCAATGAATGGTAAAGTACTGCATAGTAGTAGCTACATGGGTATGTTCATACCACAGATGCAACCCTAGTCCTCAGCACTCCTAAACTTTGTCCATGTTAGTGACAAATTGTACAGTGACAATCGGTGCTCGGATTTTCTTTTTTCTCATCTTACTCCCTCAGACATGGCCAACAAGTGAATAATTAGGTGTGATAATACCCTATTAAATTCATGCCGGTTATGTGCCGTACTTAAAATTATCATCCCTGTAAAAATTGCTTGTAAAAGTGGCCTTTCTACTTTCCATTGCTGCCCAAAGCACGCAATCTCTTCATTCTCTCTCATTACAGGTCATTATCCAGTCCTTTAGAATACCAAAACCAAGTAAGCACAGCTTGGTTCACCAAATCTAATGGTGGCAGATTCACCACCATTAGATAAGTGGATCCCATAAATATTTAAAGGTGATGAATGTGATGCCTCACTTGATAAGAACATTTTGGTACACAAATTTGAGAAGCATAACACTAGTCTTTTACTTTTTCTCAAACTGAAACAACAATGCTTTACAGATAAGAAAAATCAGTACTATAAAGTACTACCATTTTTTTGTAAATTATAGCTTATCAACTCGATTAAGTTGCCAATTGCTGGTTTGGTGCAGTTTAGGCGTATAAGTAGTGAGCAGATGATAGCTTACTATGCCCATAATCTGCCAACAATCCAGGAGATGTACTTGACTGTTACTACAACTTATGGTGAGTTGATTCCCAAACTATCCTAAGAAGAAGAAAGTGGGAAAGGGGAAGAGCTGATACATCTCTCTCTCTCTGAGGGCACTTGAATTTTTTTGATTCAACAAAGATTTCAGATATCAAAATCTTCTAATCTACAAAACAAGCCTGATCCTAGGAAAGCCGTCCTAGAAACGTCAAGAAGGCCCTTTCTTTTGGACCATGAATTTGGGATAAAGATAGTCAATTTGGCAATCTCATCTGAGACTGTTGCCCAAACACGATTGGTGCTGACCACACTAGGTGCTACCATGGTAGCAAGAGAGGCCAAGCGGTGACAATTGAAAGGTTGTCACTGAGCATTCCTAGTCACGCGGAAAGAGAGGTCAAATGGCAAGGCCATACATCCGTTTGGCCCCTCACGGTGGCCTTCTTCCCCTGCCAACACCTAGGACGGTACCACTACCATACCCACTCACAGTAGTGTAGCGCTCCTACTGAAACCTAACTGACATTATCATTATATGCAATACTTATACAAAATGGCATGTAAGCAATACCCCTACTAAAATGAAAAGCACACCCATAAATCTCAACACAAAGCCATGCAAAGCACACTTGTGCACCTCTCAAATCTGACTTGCACTAACAGCCTACCAATCATTGATATTAGGCAGATGACATGAGACATAAATGAGGGTAGAATAAAATCCTCTTTTTTGTTAACGGTGTTAGGGAGTTTCAGACTGGTACAAGTCAGCATTATTATTTGATAAGTACACGAAATCATAAATTTGGGAATTTAAAGAGTTAAAAATTGAAATAACATCATTGTTGGATTTCCACGAGGTATCATGGCAATTTATGGCATCAGCCTGTCCATTTTCAAACAATACACACCTACTCCCCACCCCTTATAGTCACAGCAATTTTGGGCAGCATCCTGTCTGTTTCAAACCATACATACCAACTCCTCCACGCCCTACAACCCAAAAGACAGAACAAAAAATTCTCTTGGCTTAAGGCTCTGTCCTTTCTTCACGAATTCAGTAGCCAGAGCTAAAAGAAATAGTGAATTATTCAAAGTGTGGGCAAGTAAAACCAAACCACTTGCCCAATATATGAACACAGACAGCGACATTCAAAATCCCCAACGATATGAAAACTAGTATATGACTAAAACAAATTCAATAAAAAAAAATCAAAAAAAGAAAATTCCTGTCAAACTAAAGTTAAAACAAGAAATATTGGTAAAATTTAGGGTTTCCATCAATGCACACCTCCAATTTTGGTTTCGTAACACGCCATTGCCACCATTATGGCTGTTAACATATTTAAAACCATGATATGGAAACATTTATCATCACCATTTCATCACAAAACCTTTCACTTGTCTTCTATATCTGTGGTTGATATAGTCACTTCTTCCTGAAGGTTACAATTCGTCATGCAGTGCAAACAACATACAATCCTCCTGTCTTTCGGCTATTGAAAGGAATCTGACCAAACCAGATGCACAGTACAACCCATCCCACATTTCATAATTTTGAATAATTTCCAGAAATTAAGGAGATGAAGGGCTATGCTGTATGGATCCCTAGAGGACACCATTGGTGTTTGTTTTTCATTGAAACAAGAAAGAATAACAAAAAGACAGCAAGCACATGAAGCGAACCTAGTCACAGCGCCCATTGAACGACCCCACAAGCCAATCATAGAAACATTTCCATCTGCTCGCAAAAAATCAACCGCAGCTCTCAGATCATCCTTCTGGAAAAATTACCAAAATTTGTCAGCAGTGAAACGAATAACCAACACTACTAAGTTTTCCATTAATTTTTCAACAAGCTAGAAGTCTAGAACGGCCACATTACACACCCATCAGGGAATAAGTATGTCATATTATCTGACACATGTATTGGACACCAATAGAGCAGACAAATCAAGTTTTATACATTTAATGTAGAGAGTCTCAATATCCTGCTCAGAATTCATGCACTTGCACTAGTGTATATATCACATTGATATACTCATTTATTAATATATTTTTTTATGTACAGCCTTTAGGTTTCAATTAAAGAACAACCTTACAATATTGATTAGAAAAAGTTCAATGTATGACCTTTAAGTTTCAATTACAGAAATTTATTAAATTAGCAATTGCACAACATTTAGGATCCAGTTAGTGTTTTATTTATTTTTCTTTTTTTTAATCTGCAAATAAACAAAGAAATAAAGAATAAAGAAAACACTAACTAGAAACTAAATCTACAGTACTAATGTTTTCTTCCTATTAATATAAAAATCTACATTACAATCAAAAAACGGTTGCAAATTGGTTTTTAATTCAGAAGAAAAGGGCGGATTAGGATAATCCCGAGATTAAGTCAAGTTTATTCAAATAAAGACTTGACTGACTTTTTAAATCCAAGAGGATCATGAGAGGATAAATAAGACTTATCTGAAATTTAAAGGATAGCTGACCCTGGGGGAGCCTATCAGAGAAGAGAAACAACAAGGATAGGATGCCGAATAAGTCAAGGCTTATGTGTGTTATTCAATATACACATGTGACCAAACGAGGTCGACCAATAAAAATAAAAGCCTAAGATGGTTGAAACACTAAAAAATATGACTCTGAGAGGAATCCGGTTGTATCCCCAGATTCCAGGTGGGCCTTTAAGTCCTACATGATTGAGGACCGGCTCCATATACATACCGTTTATGCTTAAGAAGTCATGAACACACTCTTTTTCTTGAGAATTTCTTGTTCTCTTTGAACCCCATCTAACTTATGCATTAGAGTACCTTTGCCCACTTCCACCCTGGTATTAGCTGTTTGTTTGTTTTTGTAAGAAGACAAAGAGCAACAAAAATCAATCCTTCATTCCAAATCCTACTCAATTCTCCTCCCTTGGACAGGTGTGTAATTTCGCCCATAGGCCCCGTACAACAACTTATAAATTTTAATACAAAAATGAAGAGTAAAAAATCAATGACACCCCTTGAATTTGCAAAAATAACACGATAACCTACCGACATTTCAAATATGGAATGAATACTTATAACTTTTAACTAAAAAATGACTTAATTGTCCCCATTTAATGTGTCAAATTTTGTCAAAAATAGCATAACTACAAAATAAAAAATAAAAACCACGACAAAGAGAGAGGCACACAACCCACAACCGACCACCCCTTTCCCATTTAGCCCTCTCCCTCTCCCTCTCCTTCTCCCTCTCCTTCTCCTTCAAGTTAGTCTTGGTGTAGCAACCTTGCACCCCATGCCAAACCCCAACTCCTTCCCCAATCCCTGCTCCCAAAAACATCCTTGCCACCAAATACACAATCGACAACGTCCCCTCACCCAAACCCAAAACATCCCTTCCCTCCCCCACCCCTAGAACACTCTCTCCCTCCCCACCACCACCAATTCAGCCATACATAACCCTATCTATTTAGCTTTGATCCAAAGTTATATATTCCCTACCAATCCAACCCAAACCTCCAATAACCCATATGATATTTTTATCTGTATACACACCCACCTACTCAGAAGCTGAAAATTTTACGTAAAATAAGCTTAACATAACAAAAAATATTTTTGAAGGTAATAGAGCTTTGTTTCGGTGGAGTAGTCGACATGTGTCTATCGGTGGAATGAAGACGTAGATACGAAGTAAATGTCCATATAAGGGGCGTGTATGTGCACGTGCAATATTGTGCATGTTTATGTGGGAGTTATAGTGTTGTCATTGCAATTGACTGTGTATGTTTACTCGCGAGTGTAACAATGGGCGTTGTTCTAAGAGTGTGTGTAGTGAAGGGATGAAGACGACAAAGGGTGGGTGTCTGGGTATAAGGATATCATTATTCTAGTTAGTAATAATATTAAATAAATGACTAATTTTACTCCAATGAAAAATAAAAGATAAAATTGGAATGTTACAAATCAATTCATGTCATTTTCTTCCTGATGGACGGGGTCTAAATAATAAGATATTGAAAGTAAGAAGTCATTGTGTTATCGTTTTAATAGCAGGGGTGGTTGAATTGTCTTAACAAATGGCCGGGGATGTCATTGATTTTTACCCACAACAAAATTATTGGCTTAATACAAACATATTAGGAAAACTATAAAAATATTAAAATAGAAGAAACAAATGCAAATGCCACTTTAGGAATTTGGCAAGATTCCAAGATATGAGGTCCCCCAAAGGTTACTTTTTAAGTTTCATGTTTGTTTATCATTTTAGTCCTCTATGAATTGACTTTGTTGTGGATTGGTGAATGAAGAAATCTTTGGAGCCAACATAGGTGCGATGTTTGATACATTTTCTAATTTCTATTTAAGTATATGCTTTAGAACCTAGTTGTGATTGACTGATTGTGTGGCATTCTCACCTATTCTTTTCCTTTCTTTCTTCTTTTTTAAAATGTTCCAATTATCAACTTACAAGATATTTATTCATCATTTTGGTTCTTGCCAAAGTATATATATTTAAGTTGCACGTTCTTAATAGCTTAAGTTTTTGGAGCAGTTGGTTGTTTGACATCGTACCAAAATTCAAATTGTTGAAGTATATCTATAATATAAAGCAGAACAGGCTTCAATAATCTCATCTGACAATCTCAAATATACTCATCCAACGGCCACCAATATCTCTCTTAAAACCATTCACATTGAATTTCTCCCCTCCCCCAAATCTATCACTTCTCATTTACATTGCATCATACTTTCAGACACGAGTTACCTCTAATAATATTTAAATTATGCTTCTCTAACAACTTAAGCTTTAGGAGCAGTTAGTTGTTTAACATGGTATTAGGATTCGAATCACAAAAGGCCTCTTCCCTTACTACACAATACAGACACGTGGATAGACCACCCAAGACGGGTCACACATAAGGGGGATATTGGATAAATACAAATGTTATACCTTTCTCAATCAACTTAAGTTTTAGAGCAAATGGTGATTTAACAATGCTGAAAGCAACCTTCAAAAATATATTTCAAAATTGCCAACTAAACATGTGCACTTATGAAAAACATTATTGATCACCTATACTACTAGCGCACAACAAAAAAATCAGAAAACAAATAAAATATACCACTAATACTGATATTTTTTCACAAATCGCACATCACAATTATTGTTGTATATGAAAGACAGATTCCTAGGAGGATGATAAGGGTTAGCCCTACAATATAATTCTAGTCAGCAAAGAATGTATTTGGCTTAAATAACTCAATAGAAAATTTGCTACAAAAGATACTACTACAACTATTAGTTTTCAGATATCATGTACTGTAGGAGTATTAGGTTCATAACTCTAATTAGAAAATTACTCAGCCACTTACTTCATTCCACCCTAGAGTGACATGTTCCCCTCCAGAGAGTCCAGATCCAGAGAAATCAAGAGTGAAAACAGTAATGTTTGAAGGCAGTAATATTATAGCAGCTTCACTGGCATCTGCCCTGCACCCACTGGCATAAACATACAAATTGACAGCTAGTAAGAAAAAAAAAAAAGTTTGTGAAAGCATGTAGACTAAGTTTTTTAACTATAGGCTTCACAGATTCCAGACACGAAGAGTAAAATAGCTTTGATTTTCCAATCTTTGAGAGATTATGAACAGCATTTGTAATTTATATACTTTTCAATCTTTGAGAGAATGCTAGCTACATAAACTATTTAGCTTAATTGTAGAGGACAAAAAAAACAAATATAAATTTTAGAGCATATAAATGGACAGCTTGTTAGTAACTAAAAGTTAGAGAATAGAAACTCAGTTAACTATAGGCTTCACAGATTCCATACAACTATATTAACAAATCATAAATAATGATAAATCTTATATAAGACATTGTACTTTTTCCTTTGCATTCTACTTAATCTATACGGATGGCATTGCTGGAGCCGTTAGATTATTGGGAGTTATATCATGCTGTTCGACATATTTTCTTTGTAGGAGTTTATTCAATATGCCAGCGCTAGTCTGGGGGAACCAAGGTATTAAAGGTTATCAAAAATACATTATATGAGATCAGAGGCATGAGCAACCACCAACTAGAGAACTTTGCATTGAACATCTCCCCCAAGACCCCATTCCCAAGCCTTGGGGTGGTGTG